ATACAAAAGAACCTCCTCAGGAAACCTCAGGAAACAATCCATATACAAAAGAACCTCCTCAGGAAACAGGAAACCTCAGGAAACAATCCATATACAAAAGAACCTCCACAGGAAAGCTCCATTAGCATGTTTCACAGCCTGGGGAACTCCTACAAAATAATGACTCAGCCTTACCCCACTTTCTGGAGTAGATATAAATTACCTGCCTACCATTTTTCTTCTCACCTTGACACAGAGAATACTCCATCTTTCTGTGTTATACCTCTGAGGATGCCAGTCACAGTTACTGGCGAAACGTCAGGTTCTACAATGCCAAGACCACGGCCAAACAACCCAGAAAATCTACAGCCACTAAGCCTAAATTACTTGTCTGTCTGAAGGCTGGAACTATAATCAATCTCTGCTTTAAAACATTCTAATTTAAAAATATTGTTGGGGCAATCAAACAGAGAAGAACAAGGCCTTTACAATTTTTTAAAAACTTCTTGATACAATAAACTGTCCATCTCTCTCACCCTACTCCTTAAAAGGAGAGCAAGTCACAGACAGAAGGAGAAGAGTGAGTTGGAGGGTTATGGGATGGGAAATGTACGAGGGTCTGGGTGCAGTACAGTCTGTGGTGCTAGGGTACTTCAAGTTCCATTGACTGAAAAATGTCTGAAATTTACCAGGTCAATTCCTGAGAGGTTGGTCATTTTTTCCACTTTGTTGCATACAAAAGAACCTCCTCAGGAAAGCTCCTCCATTAGCATGTTCATAGCCTGGGGAACTCCTGCAAGATAATGACGCAGCCCTACCCCACCTTCTGGAGTAGATACAAATTACCTGCCTACCATTTTTCTTCTCACCTTGACACAGAGAGTGCTCCATCTTTCTGTGTTATACCTCTGAGGATGCCAGTCACAGTTACTGGCGAAACGTCAGGTTCTACAATGCCAAGACCACGGCCAAACAACCCAGAAAATCTACAGCCACTAAGCCTAAATAAATTACTTGTCTGAGGGCTGGAACTATAATCAATCTCTGCTTTAAAACATTTCTAATTAAAAAATACTGTCGGGGCAATCAGAGAAGAACAAGGCCTTTACAATTTTTTAAAAAACTTCTTGATGATATAACAAACTGTCCATCTCTCACCCTACTCCTTAAAAGGAGCGCAAGTCACAGACAGAAGGAGAAGCAGACAGGAACAGAAGAGTGAGTTGGAGGGTTACGGGATGGGAAATGTACGAGGGTCTGGGTGCAGTACAGTCTGTGGTGCTAGGGTACTTCAAGTTCCATTGACTGAAAAATGTCTGAAAACTTACCAGGTCAATTCCTGAGAGATTGGTCATTTTTTCCACTTTGTTGCATCTTCTGCCAGTTTTCTGTAGTTGGAAAATTTGCAGTTTTCAGTGCTCCAATACAATTATTTTGACAACTGAAGCAAGCGGCAGCATAAAGGATCTTTTTGTCCAAGGGCCCCTATAAGTGGGACGCATTCTACTAGAATATGATTCAAGGAAAAGCCAACAGAGGTAGAGAGGCTTAAGCTGACCTGCCATTCAACTTCCCTTCAGAATGAGTTTACATAGAAACAATGCCAGATGAAGCATACAAACATTCTCTTGTTACCTTCAAAGAATACTTCAAAAATAAATAAATTCCATGGTCATAGAAGCTAGGGGGGAGGAGAGTTATGCAACTGCTTACTCGTGATATCATAGCCACCGCCCAATCAGAGCTTGGCAGACTCAGGCAGTCACATTCTACACAGCAAGGGATGCTGTCTACAGAATAACAAAGGACAGAAATAAATCTATTCAGTACGAAAGACGAAGAAAAGATTGGATTTATATCCCACCCTTCCCTCGGAGTCTCAAAGCGGCTTACAAAGTCATTCCCTTCTCCCCACAAGAGACACCCTGTGAGGTAGGTGGGACTGAGAGAGCTCTTTTGAGAACTGCCCTTTCAAGGATCGCTCTTGTCAGAACTATGGCTTGCCCAAGGTCATCCAGCAGCTGCGAGTGGAAGAGAGGGGGATCCAGTTCTCCCAGATTAGAGTCCACACACTTAACCGCTACACCAAACTGGCTCTCAAAGAAAATTATACTTCTACAACTGAAGTATCAGATACGTGGGCTGTAAATGAGAAAAAAAAAATCACACCCACGAAAGCAGTGAGGTGTACTAGAATGTATATGCGAAGCTGTTCTGTAGTCAGCTCTGCACTAGAGTCTGACTGCTAGGTGGTACCCAAAGTTACACAAATCAATATATGCAATTCCTCTGTTGATGTTTAGATCCAGAGATCGGAGCCATGGACAAAAAAGAAAGAGGGAAATATGACGCCCCTGGCGAGTTCTCGCAGGCTGTTGACTTGTATATTTTAGAATGCCATGCCAAACAGTGGGGCATTAGCAAAGAACTTTGCTTTTGACATTACAATGAACTCTGCATCACTCTCATGGTATATGGTCCAACATTGGCAACACAACATGACGCACATTGAATGACCTACATTCTGCAATGGAAATTAAATTAGTTGGCCTCGTCCTGACCTCCTGATGCCCCCAAAACAGTGCCTTGTGTGTGTTTGTTATGGCCAGTCCTACACTTATAAGTTTTAAACGGTCAATCTTTGAGGAATGTTTTCTCAACACCAAGTCCCTGTCTAGTTGAATCCAGATGTTATCAGTGTGCTGGACCACACGGTGGCACTGTGTAGCACTTGTGTTCAGTTCAACCGGAGCCTCCGCTTCCTTCTGTTTAGCAGAGACTAGAGCAGGGGTGTCGAACTAATTTGTTATGAGGGCTGGATCTGACATAAATGAGACCTTGTTGGGGCGGGCCGTGTGGGCCATAAAATGTAATGCCAGGTAGCGGAGATATAAACTTTATAAAGGACACAAG